TGATCAGTGAGTCCCTGGGACTCGCTGCAAGTAAACTGTAAAATTATCACTGAGAGATTACCGCTTTTTCTGCAGTCAGTGATTGACTTCTATGCAAAGTCATTTCTCAACTTGTGTTCCGTGCCATGTCATGCCTGTTGAGTGTTGATTTACTTCATATTAAGAAACTACTGCACTAAAACATTAATTCATAAATGTATATCATGTGATTTTATTTCTTTTTCTCAGTATAAATAACACGTACCCTGACTGTTCTACTCTTTGAATAAAATCACTTCTTTCAAGCATTAGGGAGTGCAAAGGGTTATGATGGAGGGGTGTTAATCATGAGGATCCTGCCAAGTGGTATGATAGCATTGTTTTATACATGTCCTTGGCTAGGCCTCAGTTTCAAAATCAGTCCTTGGTCCTTGGCCTTGGCCTCGGAAGCAAGTCCTTGGTCCTTGGCCTTGGCCTCGGAAGCAAGTCCTTGGTCCTTGGCCTTGGCCTTGGAAGTCAATTCCTTGGCCTTGGCCTCGGCCTTGGGAGTCAAGTCCTTGGCCTTGGCCTTGGCCTCGGGTTGCCGGTCCTTGGACACATCCCTGAACCGTACATTGAGGTGCATTGTCCTGATACTGTTTGGCTATTTTTGCTTTTGTTCACAGATAGGTGAACCTCACCCACTCTTTGCTTATGAATGACAGCAATTCAGGGGTGCTCCTTTTTAATACTCACTCATGGCACCCACGTGTTCCCAGTTAGCCTGTTCACCTGAGGGATGTTCCAAATGGGTGTTTACGGGTGTTTAATGATTCCTCAACTTTCTTTTTTTTTGCCACCTTTCCCAGCTTTTTTGGAATGTTTTGCACCCATTAAATTCTAAGTTCATGATTATTTGCTAAAAACAATGGAGCTTATCAGTTTGAACTGGTGAAAAGGACACTTTGATCCACTCCTCTTTCATCTATAACTGCTTCAAACAACAAAGCGTATTCGAGGGAAAAGTGGTTAAGCTTGCACGACTGTCCGTGTTTTGTTCTGTGTTGTGTTTATTATTTTACTTTACGTTAATCGGTTTGTAAAGCGCTTTGCTACAGCTGCAGCTGTTGTGAAAGCGCTATATAAATCTCAATGTATTGTATTAAACTTTAAATATCTTGTCTTTGTGGTGTACTCAATTAAATACAGGTTGAACTCTTTCAACACCCTAACTTCTTTGAAATAGGGTCTGTGCATTAGTCATCCGCTATTCTTGTCTCATTATTTCACTGACTGATTTCATAGTCGCTGTTTTAAAATGTTTATTATTGTCGCTGTAGTTTTCAAAACCACACAGGATCATACTGAGAAAGTCTTAATATTTAGTTAGCTTTTTAATAACAGATGTAGAAGTTGTGCCCCCCCCCACCCCTCCCAAAAAGATATCAATAAATACATTTGTTGTTGCAGGGATGTACTTCCACATCAGAGACTTTGTCCTGAACTGCTCTGAGTGTCAGAGCCAGCAACACAAGGTGACAGAGGTGAGCAAGGGTTGCAATTTTGAAAAGAAATACACAATTTCAGTTGCTTATCTGGCATAAGTCATTTCCCCTTTATCACACATATTTTAAGTTGACAGTTGCTCGCTCTCATCTTCTGTCCATCTTGGATGTCCCTGACATCATTCCTACAGCGTAGCCCCTCCACCCCCACCACACACACTTAAAATCTGCCTCACTCCTAGGAGCTAGGCAGCCGAGGATGCGTCACGAAGACGATAGCGTCGCACGGCTCTGACATGCTCAACAAGCTGAGGAGTCAACGGGAGGCGGGGATGTTCTGTGACATCACTGTGCGCACTAACGGTCAGTCCTACGCCGCGCACAGGGCTGTGCTGGCAGCCGTCAGTGACCACTTCCAAGAAGTCTTTACAGAGATGGATTCCAGTATGAAGACAGACATAGATCTCACTGGTAAGTCAAAATATAGTCAAGCGTATGTCACATTCACATCTTAACAGTCGAGTATTTCATAAAAAAACACAACACATGCAACAGTTTTAGGATCAAAACTGTTTAAGTCTATGCACAACTGTTACCATTCGTTGTGATTGTTTGAATTTTGGGGGGCAAACCTGTCCGGAATGGCTGTGTCTGAATAGGGATATTTGTGTACATGTAATATCAGAAACCCACATTATTCGTGGAGAATAGGGGCAGCCTGTGAATTGCAAAAACCCCTGAGTAATTGAATGCCGACCTCAAAGATGTTTACAACTGCTTATAGTCATTGTGTAAACGATCAATATCACTCAAAGTGTCATCCAAAAAGCCTTGAGTAACTTTTCACACTCGTTAAAAAAAATGCAGAGGAATTGCATGTGTTTGTCGCCTTTGTTACGCGTTAACAACCACTTGTCAAGCTCAAATGAGGGCATCTTTTGTTAGTTTGAGCGTCTTAATAGCCACTCAGGAAGGCCAAAAAATACACGCGGCAAAGACTCTCATCTCCCGACTTGGACTTTCGCTATCTAGTGGGCAGACAGAATCATGAGGGCCACATACTCTGCAATAAATGTAACTTGTCTCGTATTTTGAATGGTTAAGAATAAGGGTTAATTAAAATTAAAATTTAGGGAAGTTATTGTATTTCTAACTCACGTATCTGTTGGTCATTTTTATTCACAAAGCATAATACTTATCATTTCAGTGTAATGTTCTTAGGGCTCCTTTTAATGTTCTTTTAGGCGTTGGCAAAAGGTGAAGTCATAAAGGAGCAGCAGTTGAAAGCAGTTTTCAATCTTCCTGTTGACCAAAGTGTCTTCGTCATCTCGCTCACCAAGCAATCCATGTATCTAACTGAAGGTTCTGTCTTCTCCACTCAGGTTTCAGCGAGGACAGCCTCTTGTCTCTGCTGGATTTCTCCTACTCTTCCACCCTTTGCGTGCGCTGGGTGGACCTCCCTGAAGTCATCACCATGGCCCGTCACTTGGGCATGTGGCCTGCTGTGGAGGCCTGCTCTGCTCTCATGAAAGAGCACCGCAACATTGTCCATCCTACCCAGGATGTAAAATTGGAGTACGGTGGGGTTTGTAGTCGGCGCCATCACCAACAGACAGAAACCAAAAGGAAAAGGAAGTTAGAGGATAACACTGGCGGAGTCCACTTGACAGTGGATACATCTGATGAATCTTTGGAAGGGAGTCCGTGCTGCAATTTGCATAGGATGTCAAATGCCAAAGTTCATAACAGACTCCCCATGAGCCCCTCACACAGAATGAAGCTCATGGACTTCAAATCTCCTTCCTCCAAGAAGACTGCCGTATCCACAAATATTGCCACCCCACAGTCCAAAAATTACTCCCCCATATCTCCACCCAACACCCGTCTACTCCGCTCAAGTCCTGGGGCTGCTCAGCAAGTTCAGAGATTACTGCCCATATTGGAAAGCCCTCGACAAAACCGAAAGTCGTGCACCCCCAGATCCAGTCCGGTTTGTAGCCCTGTCAGGGTGAAGCAGGAAGTGGAGGAGGTGGGAGTGGATGAGGAAGACTACGCAAGAGCCCAGGAGAAGTACAAACTAATGCTGGTTCTCGGGCTCCAGAGGACAGCCCTTCTCCCTCGACCGGAAGATCTGATTGGTTGGAGGCAGAAGAAACGACTCAGGAAGCTCAAAGCCAACAACTACTCGCTAACCAAGAGGCGAAAACCCCGCTCCGCTCCCCCAGTGCTACCATATACCCCTGTGACACTGTCACTTCCCCTCTGCGACCCTGTGAACAGTATCCTACTCGACAAGGAGGGGAAAATCAAGTCTCGCGGCCCACCTGTCAATGAAGGAATGACAAAGAGGCACAATTCCAAAAAACACGTCCCTCCTAGCGACAGGAGCATGCGAAGTAAAGGGGTCTTACCTGATATGTTCCGAGCAGCATCCCGGCCTGGCTTCAGTGGGAGAGAGCTCAGACGGTCTGTGAGGAACGGTGCTAGTGTCCATCCCCCTGTCCAGCAGCCCGTGCGGCGTACCTCCAACAAAACTCCAGCGAGGAACACTGTCAGGATCAAATCAGAACCAGCTGAATACTCGGTCTCAGGTCTCTCTCTCGCATCAGTCAATCATTCGTCTCAGAGAACACAGGCCAGGAATAACATCGCCGGCGCGCCGGTCAAGACACTACGCTACAACAGCAGCCGTCCAGGGACAAAAGCCAAGCCCAGACAGGGCAGCACCACAGAGGAGCGGAAGCCCCGGGGCAGACCCAGGAAAGTGTTGAGGGAGGAGATGGACACTGAGAGACAAGCAAAGGGCGATCAACACGATGGGTTCCAGTTCTCAGAGCACTCTCCTCCCCAGGCCATCTACAACCACCCTTTATACAAAGTCATCAAAGAGGAACCCCCAGATCCTGTGCCAGTTGGCGGCCCTTTGTTGGATCCTCCATCCCCAGACCTGGGTAAGCGCCAGAGCAAGCCTCCCATCAAACTACTGGACTCAGGCTTTTTGTTCAGCTTCTGCCGGCCTTCCGGGGCACCCATGGTGGGAATCAAGAAAGAAGAAGAGAGCGTGGATATTTGTTTGACGCGCTCCGTGTCACAAATCGGAGAGAAATTTGGAACGGGTCAATCCAAGCACAGGGCACTGAGAGCCAGAGGACCACCCCACACCTTGACGATGGTGAAGAAGGAGAGGGAGGAGAGGAGTGTGAGCCAGAGCAGGGTTCAGAGACGCCGGACCAACTCCAGAAACGACACGCCTTTAGTCAGATCTAAAGGGAAAAAGGCTGCACTTACCATACCAAAGGTAAGTAAAGGGGGTGGCCGTTGGTTCATAACGACAGTTGTGTAAAAATAAGGTATAGTCATAGTGTCTTGGGCGGCACAGTGGCGCTCAGACAAAGTTTATGGGTTCCGATCCGAGCTTGGACCTTTCTGTGTGGACTGTGCATGTTTCAGTGCTTGCGTGGGCAACTCTGGTTTCTCTCCACATTCCAATAACATCCATGTTTGATACGTGAAAGACTATATAAATTCCCCATCTGTGTGGATGTCAGTGTGAACGCTTGTCTCGCTATATGTGCCATGTGATTGACTGGAGACCAGTACAAGACAAGTATCATAGAAAATTGACAAATGGACAGCTTCAATTAGGGTTTGGACAATTTATCGGTTTACCTTCACAATCGTGATCTCAGATGACGAAATTTTATGATTGTCAAAGTTGTGTGCTTTTAAAGCACTCTTATCCTCCAAGCATACCAGGTAAAAGCATTATGCGAGAATCCCATCAGCTCCGAGCTGATTAAAAAAGCATCGAGTCTACGTCAGTCACCCATCTTAGCCGAGTCTATGCTATCCCGGCTGCGAAACACCCGAATTTGTGCTTAGGTGTAGAATACACTTCACAGACGCCTGGCAGGTAGAGAGCAGTCAGCTATGAACAGAAAATTAGTATCACAATAAGTATCGATACATAAAGTATGACAAATCGCTACATCGTCAGCACATGCTCAAAAATAAGAAATAAATCAGTTACAATTAACACCTGTTTCAGTTTAATGAGACGACAGCTATGTAGGTAACATCCGCTCAAAAACCAGAAAAGAATTGGGTAGGGCTTACGTCAGCCATGGTGACGATCTTAAGTATATCCATCCATTCTCTGTACCACTTTTCCACACCTTATAAGGCAGGGCTCCAGTCTTAACTTTTTTTTTTTTTTTACACTAGAAGCACAGTGGTCCCCTAATCTGGAATTGTCATTTTCACATTTCCACCCATTTCTACTATTTTACAGATACATGGGCCAAAGCATGGAGCAGGAGTTTGTGATTTGTGTGTTGATATAAATTAGCAAATTCACTGGTCGCAGAGGCATTAGTAGATGAAAAAATGTCTTGCAATGTCCCAAGTTGTAGGGGCAAAATACCACCAGCTAGAGATGGACTAAAGTTTTACTTTTAAAGTTTTGCTGATGACATTTTCTTGTAGATGTAACTGTACTTAATAAATATTGCACTGAAGCTGAATTTTAAGAAAATGGTGAATTGAATCCAAATCGCTTTATGGGGCAGCATGGCACAGTGTTCGAGTGGTCGCCTCACAACCACAAGGTTGTTGGTTTAACCCTCAACCCTTGTGACCATGTAGAAGTGTCCTTTAGCAAGATACTAAACCCTGATTTGCTCTCAATGGACCTGGACGCCCCTTGCATGGTAGTAATGTCCCATTAGTGTATGAACGTGTGCGTGAATGGTTGAATGTGAGGCTTTATAAAGCGCTTTGGGCACTATGGAGTAGTTCAAGCGCTATGCAAGCGCAATCTTTATCCATGTACAGTCTTGCGTAAGCCCCACAACAGTCTTACACAGTTTTTTGTCTTGAATCCTACTAGCAAGAGCCTATCGCCATCCCATTGAGCAGCAGGGGCTGCGTCGTATTGGACTCTGTTCGCCGGGCAAGGCTAAAGCAGCTGCGAGGCCCGCGCAGCCAGGTCCCAAAAGCTCCGAAGGTGGCCCACTCTTGCACGCAATGCTCCACCTCTTACAAGGACTGCGATGCACTCATCATGCATCGCCTGCGGCACATCGAAGGCAAGCACTGGCCGTGTCTGGTAAGTTGAGACCCGCCTCATCCTCGGCCGGGGCTCCTTTATTTTATAATTGGCGGTGCAGAAAATGCACAGATGTGCGTTAAATCTGATTCAGCTTCTGGTTAATGCTGTAACATGTGAGGAAAATCAGCAAAAATGTTTATCATTTGTTTTTCCCCCCCACAGTAAAACCAGATGTTTCCAAATGTCTTACTTTTAAAAAGAAAAACAGAAATACAATCAGTCTGTTTTCATGGAGGAATACAGAAATCAGAGATTTACTGTTTTCGAGGGTGAAGTTCCAAGGATTTGGAACCGATTAATCGACTGAAATAACTATGAATTAACTTGACAATTGATTAGTTTGTCGCATAAACATGGCACCTCTTCAAGCCTAATATAATATGGTCACTACACCACCATGTGAATTTACTTTGTTAATCGATCGTATTCATCACGACCAACATATGTTTAATTATAAAGGTTAAGGGAGGAATGGGCTACTTTTAACGCGGCACAGTGCGCTTATGTCACCTATAAAATGGAAACAGTTGCTTCCCTGTAAAAGTTGGTGCCAATGCCATCTAAGTTTGATGATCATTTTGAAGATTTGCCATCAGAATGGCAGCGCGAGATCCTGCTAATCACTACCCACAACCTTTCATTATTTCCCATTACAATCCGAACAAATCGGATCATTTCAAGGGTCTGCCGTAGTAGCGTATCGTTGGAATTGTATTTTTGACTCTTTGCTCGGATTCTGTTGTCTGATGGCCTTCTGCTCTGAAGCTTTGCAGTAAGACGTTCTTTCGACTGAGGAATGTACGGAACCACATCCGCACCCATGACCCCAAGTTGTACAAATGCAGGAACTGCATTGTCGCTGGCTCCTGAGGCCAGTTCGTCATCCAAAGGGTGTGCTGAACCAAGGTTGAGGTTGGTGGCTCCTTTTCAAAGACTGACATGCAGTCTCTGAATACTCAGTTTACCTTAAAATATCAGGTCAACTTTGCCCTGCGGCTCATTCCTCCATCGAAATGATGGGAAAAATGCAGACTCTCCTGAGCAATACGATATATATTTCCAGCTGCCTGTCAATAAATGTTAATATCAAGCAAAACATAATTTATTTCAGTGCAATTCAAGAAGTAAAATTTATTTAGATGTCATTTGGTTTTCTTTCTTCAATTTTGATGATTATTGTTTCCAGCCATTTAAGACCTCAAATTAACCATCCACCTAATGACCAAAATGTTTTTGGGGTCCTTTTCTTGATCGCTTGATTTTAGCACAACACACTGATCCGGGGAATCTTGTCTGACATGACACTGTGTTTTAAAAGATGCCTGATGTAGTAAACACGTTCTCAAAGCCGTCTCTAAAGAGATGCTAAGATTCATGAAATAACATACATGGTGTCAATATTTTTTTTTTCTTTAAGTATCGTGGTTTTCTGACTTTTTTACCACATCAATGACAAAGCTATGCAAATGCCATTAATTTGTGATTAGGTGGTCGAGGATGCAAAGGCGTAACTTGCGTGTGCCAGCGCAAAGTCTTTCGGCTCACACGACATGCGACAAGGTTAAAATAACGATTAGCTTTCACTTCACACACATAATGACAGCATGGAAGATCCCTGGCGGAATCGAGATTGTGTTTGCCGTAATGTCTTATTTCGCAGATCTCATCAATGGTCATGATCAATCAGCAAATCATGACATGACGGCCAAGCACCGTTTTTGAAATGCAAAATATCGGGCGATCCACTCCAGCCGTCAGATCAGTGTAAAGTGTAATTAAGAGTCCTTATGGGTTGTGTGTGTGCCCAGAGTTCGGTTGTATTTGCTTTTTGTTAACTGTGCTTAAGATATAAACCGAAAATGGCATATTCTTGATGCAACAATTTTTCTGTTTTTTTTGCCCCTTCATAGATTCAATATGGTTATTGATAATGTGTGATAACGCAGTGCTCCAAAAACCTTGGTAATTGCACCTCTGGAGCTTTGTGTGACTTTAATATGAAGTATTTTCCTTCAAAGTTTGGTTGAAGTCCTGTTTTTCTTGCTCAGTTACAGGTTTACGTTTTGGCCATGTGCAACCGAGTGGAAAAATGTCTTCCTATTTTTTTTCCCCCTAGATTCCGACGTAGAGCAAATGACAAGGAAGTCACACGAGCAATCAGAAGCTTGTACATAATGGAGCCGTCACTCAAGCACAACGGGGTCTGTAAGGACAAGTGACTGTTCTTTTGATTTTAATCTAATCATGGTGGTATTTAAAAACCAAACCAAGGGTGGCATGTGTCCGTTTCCCCCCCAAAAACGTCAAAACTTGAACATTACACTCAGGGGGAGGGGGAACAAGACACCGCCGTGCAACATCGATCCCATGTCATAAATCACGATCAACATGTTTGTGTATAAAAATGAAAAACGTGATTGTTTTAACTGGTCACCGTTGCATAGTGTCATCAATCCTATGTGTATAGTGGAATTTGGAGTGCACTTATCTTTAGCCTATGTTGTAAACCTAAGAGCTGGTGGTGAATTTGAAGGTGGGGCGGGAATACTTGAAGCCAAGGGTAGGAATACTTGAAGTGTTTTATTGGGTGGGAGGGGGTGCGTGTGAAGTCGAGGCGGTCTTTTTGGGTGTTTTAAGTGTCCGTTTTGGTGTGCTCAACTCTGTAATACCTTCACTCGCTGCCGCCCTTTGTTCTGACCTGCTTTTCTCACATTTTAATCATCCGTACATGGGGGACGTGGGGGGGGGGGTACGCGACAGTTACGACAACACTGCATGTGCATCTGCAGTACGTACATGGATTTTCGCAACGTGACTGCTTCATGATGGCAATTTGATCCATCCCGTCCTCCACCTTAACCCAAGCCCTTTTCCCTCCTACTGAATAAATGCAAAAGTATGCACATAGAGATGTTTATGGTTCACAAATCAATTTTCAAAAATCTTTCGTCTCTGTTCAGACTGAATACATTTTGGACTTTTATATTGTTATACTTGCTTTAATTACGTTTGTTTTTCCTTTTGCTATAGTCTTGACCTCACGTGTTGAGCCAGCATGACAAATGATAGGATATTTAACAAAAATACAAGAGTATTTATATAAAATGCTGGGACCTTTTAACATGTTATTATCGGGAAAATAAGTGATTGCAAATGTTATTGAAATTGAGATTTTAAATGCATTCCTGTGCTTTTTCGCAACGTGACTGCTTCATGATGGCAATTTGATCCATCCCGTCCTCCACCTTAACCCAAGCCCTTTTCCCTCCTACTGAATAAATGCAAAAGTATGCACATAGAGATGTTTATGGTTCACAAATCAATTTTCAAAAATCTTTCGTCTCTGTTCAGACTGAATACATTTTGGACTTTTATATTGTTATACTTGCTTTAATTACGTTTGTTTTTCCTTTTGCTATAGTCTTGACCTCACGTGTTGAGCCAGCATGACAAATGATAGGATATTTAACAAAAATACAAGAGTATTTATATAAAATGCTGGGACCTTTTAACATGTTATTATCGGGAAAATAAGTGATTGCAAATGTTATTGAAATTGAGATTTTAAATGCATTCCTGTGCTTTTTGTGGTTGGAAAGGTTATGTGTTTGCTCTGGGGATGTCTAATTTGATCAATAAACCTGAGTATATAACATTGAGAGTCTCAAAAGATCTGCTTTTTGTTTTCCTGAGAATTGTAGAATGTCATCTCCCCCACATCTCCACCCCCCGCTTGGCCAAAAATGTAACTGTTACTGTCAACCGCATTTTTTTTCTTGATTTCTTTGCAGTGTTTCTGGAAGCCAGAAAGTTGCCATTTCAAATAACTTTTAAATGTTTTTTTTTTTTTTTTGAAAGATTTTTTTCCCTACAAAATCAAACAACTGAAATAACATCCTCCGAGATTGCTGATTCCTTACTTTTTGCCAGGGGTTGTTGCATACGCCCGTCCATCCATCCATTTTTCCATCCACTTTATCCTCACAAGGGTCGTGGGGTGTGCTGTAGCCTATTCCAGCTGTCTTTGGATGGTAAAGGCGGGTTACACCTTGAACTGGTTGCCAGCCACCGCTCGGCACCCAATAGACAAACAACCATTCGCGCTCACAATCACACCTAGGGACAATTTAGAGTGTTCCATTAGCCTGCCATGCGTGTTTTTTGAATTTGGAAGGAAACTGGAGTACCCGGAGAAAATCCACGCAGGCACAGTGGAAACATGACAACCCCACACAGGAATCGAACCCTGCATCTCTGCGCTGTAAGGCGGCTGTGCTAACCAGCCGACCACTGTTCCTCCCCCTCATGAGATATCACATATTTACATACCCGTAATCCCTTTACTGAATGCTTTTTAATTCAATGGACACCAGTAAAACACCACTTGGTGACAGTATCACTCTGGAGACACCTTCCCCTTCACTGTCGAGTTTGCATCTGTTAGGCTCCTTCAACCGGTGAGTCGTTTTACTATATTTTAGTTCTACTACACATTGGTTCTTAAAATTGAATTCATGAAATGAAATTGAGAATGCATTTCACTCATCAAAAGGTGAGTAGTTTTACTTGCACGTTTTTTGTCTTATTGAGTGTTTTTGTGTTTGACAGCTAAGAACAATCAAAAGTGAATGCAAGAGGTCCATTTCGTCAGTATGCTTCCATTCGCAGCTGTCATCAAGCAGTGAGTAATTTTTGTTTTGTTTTATTAGAATATTGTTACCAGGGTTTCATGTGGGTTGGTTAGTCATATTAAAATATTTGCTCAATTATATGTTTCAGTTTTATGATGGCCCTGGAATGAAATCATTCACTTAACATTACATCCCCCTTGGGTTATTTGGTTCCACTAAAAGAGGCTGGCGCACCATTATTTCACAAAAAAAAAAAAAAAAAAAAGTACGGTATTACAACACAAATACAGCCATATCTGTGAAACTCCACAAGGTGGCGGTATCACTCTTTATGGAACTTCAAGATGTTCCGTCAACATTTCCAAAGGTGAGGGAGCCAGTGGGTTTTTGTTTTATTACACCGTGGTTATCGTATTTGTTTAAAGCTCCATCACAGTTAAAAATGTTAATAGTGAATGAATGTCAACTTCTTTACGATCATTCGTCATCACAGAGGGAGTTGTTTACGTATGCTACCAGTGGTTTGCTTATTTTGGCTTTTTTACTAATGTGGCCAGTGGTCATATTTTGCCTACTGATGCTTCAGAGATTCCACTGGACTCTGGTACCTTGGTTTTGAGTGACCCGACTGACATTGACGTCACCATACTCAAAACCTAAATCAACAAATATTTTAAACCAAACCATGCAGCAGCACATGTAGACAGACAACAACAACATAACAGCTATTTAATATAACTAATATAATTGTTTGCATCATATATTGATATTACTGCGTGTTTTCATAATATATAATACTGTTATGCCATGTTTGTTTGGGAGAATTTTGTAATTGTTTTCAGAAGATGGGTGTTTATTGAAATCCAGATAAATTTATTGCTTGTTGTTTGTGAAAAAATATATAGGAAGAGACTCTTGAAAAAAATAATTGCATGTTCAATTGCAATTGAAATTTTCAGGGCGGGGGTGCAATTTGATTATTTTTCAAAATCATTCAGCCCTACTGTACACTGCTATTAAGAACATTTAGTTTTTTGAAGGGCAGGTGCAGATTAATGACTTGTCCATTTATTTCAGTTTGGACGGATTATTTGAGATGCAAGCGTTCAGTTGGCTCAGTTCTGACCATGGTCAAAGAATGATTTACACTCTCAAATCAAGGCACAACTGTACTGTAGTTTTCAAGACAAAAAAGGTGGTGGTTGCCCCACTGTGTTTTCTGTCTCAATCCAACACAAAATACCTTAGCTTGTGCATCATTGCAGTCGGTGTTTTTGCACAGTTTATGCATGATCGACTCAACGCCAGCCAATGGCAATTTTGGCCCAAGTGTAAGTAGTGCCTTCACACTGCCGCATTATTCGGGGGGCCTCCGTCTACTTTTTCAGGTCTTGCAAACCAGCAGGGTCTTGCTTACTCGGGTTACCCTCGCAGCACCAGCGCCTGCATATGTGGGCTTACAGAGAGTACGCCCAGGAACAGCTGACAATTTATGCTGCTGAGGCCCCCACATTCTCGGTGGGAAGGAGGAGGAAGAGGATGGGGGAAGAGGTGGAGGCAGCGGTTGGGTGGCAAAGGGTTAAAAAAAAAAGCGAGGATGGGTAGCACACATACGGGTCGCCGAGGGTGAGAGGGGAGAGAGGCGGCTCGCCTTTTTGTAGCTTGTCAGCAATTGCCTGAGACAGGCTTTTTGCCTCTGTGTGTGAAAGCTACTTGGCAGGAATGCTTGGAGCGTACCAAGTGTGGCCAGTGAGTGGGGGGGTTCCAAAAGAGAATCGTTGACGTGTGTGTGTGGCACAAATGAGCCTTTAGCGTCTGCTTTCGTGTGTGTGTGTGTGTGTGTGTGTGTGTGTGTGTGTGTGTGTGTGTGTGTGTGTGAGAGAGAGAAAGAGAGAGAGAATGGGGGCTGGAGAGAGTATGTGGATATGTCCTCGCTCTCGCTCTCTCGAGAAGCAACAAAAGATGGGGAATGAGACACCCCTCCTGCCCTCCCCTTTCCACTCCTCTCTACTCCCCCCTTTCCCTTCCCCAGCTCTCAAGAGAAAGAAAGCAACCCTGAAAGGGGAAAAAAGGGAAAGAAGATGATGAAACCCGAAGTGGTCCTGCATTGGGAGTTGTTTGCATGCATCTGGATCGTGTGTGTGTGTGTGTGTGTGTGTGTGTGTGTGTGTGTGTGTGTGTGTGTGTGTGTGTGTGTGTATGTGTATGCAGTTGTGTGTGTGTGTGTGTGCGTGTGTGTGTGTGTGCGTGTGTGTGTGTGTGTGTGCGCGCACGCGCTCGTCATTATTTGTGGGTGTCGTGTGTGTGCGTTTTTGTTCCTGGCAGGGGTTGTTATTGTTTTAAGTGTGTGTTGTGTGTGCTTGTGAGACAACCAGTAGCCTGTTGCTTTTTAGCTATGCGACCCCCCCCCCCTTCAGTCTACGTCAGGAGGAATGCAGCGAGCAGATCCTGCAGGATTCCTCCTCCACTCTGGCTTCATTATTCCCACATGCCGCCGTTGAGTCAAGCATGGAAAAACATATTTTCATATTTAGGTTTGCTGACACCAAAATGGAGTATCTCCTGCAACCTTAACACACTCCAGCTGTAATGGTTTCCTCACCAAAAACGCAATACAGCGGAAC